AGTGTTTAGCAATGCAGTGGCTCAAACATGGGAGCGGCAGGGTTGTCGGAGTCGGGAGGGCTGCAGAGGTCTGTTAGGAGCAGAGCCAGTTGTGTAAAACTCCTCAGTCCCCACTCTCTGGCCTGTCAGGACATACTCACGCATCCTCCCGGGCCAAGGAAAACTTGGCCCCAGCAGAGCAGAGCCGGGTGGCTGGCAAGTAGGGATGGCCACAGCCTGAGCCCAGCCTGGCCTGGAGGTGAGCAATTTTCCATGAAGGCAGCCTCAGGAATGCCTGCTCAAAGGCTTTCCTGCAGATTTCTTGCCCAACATGTCATTCTGCTTGGAAGTCTCAGCTCAGAGGATAAGGAGGAACTGGGTGAAGAAAATGAGCCATGCCTTCAGAGGGTTGTCTTTATCAGCAAGAGGATTTCAGCCACCTTCAGTCCTGTTGCTGCTAATAACATTCCTTCTGTAGGTGAAATCCCATAGATGTTCTGCTTGGGAAGTGATCTGGTGAACAAGGAAAGAGAACCCAGGACCCCTGCTGCCAGTCTTCTTTCCAAGCTGTTACACAATACTATTCTGGAGTTAACAAACCAGAAACATCTGGGAATAATCAAAGCTATTTAGGCTCTGAGAAAGCATGGCTGGAGAAAGTTTGAAGGAAGCAACTTGAAAGCTCAGCACTGTTAAAAACAGTCTGGAAGCCCTGAAAATTAAAACTAGGGTAACATCTACAAAGAGTGAGGAAGTATCAAAAGAAGGATCTAATATCCTCTGAGGAGCAAAGAGAAGCTGGAATGAATTGTAATGCTTGAGCTTCTAAGCTACAGGGCATTAAAAAATTGCTTCAGAACAAACAGATCTGCCTTTCCTGCGGCTTCCACTGGCATGAGAGCAGAGGGAAAGACCAGGGGTCTGGCTTAAAAGCAGCTTGGGGATTGGAAGTGTGATTTAAAGACAGATAATTGCAATCTCCAAAAGCCTGGTAATGGTGATGGAGAGCCCCCAGCGAGTGATACCTGCCAGGGCTGGGTCAGGGGGGACTGAGGGCACACAGCAGACATTCAGGGCCCAATGGTATCTGTGACAGGGGGCACCAGCCAGGGTACAGCTGGGGAAAGGAGGTGTGTAACCTGCAGGCTTTGCTTTGCAAGTGGCAGGATGTGAGCTTGGGCTGACTGATGGCATTGCCACCATGGGGTGTGATTCCTGAGGGATGTTCCTCATGGAGAGTGGCAGTGCTTTGCTGTCTCTCACTGCAGGGAACATGCTCAGGTCTCTTCTGGTGTGGGAACTCAAATGATCCTGGGATCACCCTGGTGGGTAAGCCAGGGCTGGCAGCTGGAAACACCATCCATGGGGTGTCCAGCTGGCAGCAGGGACTGTGGTGCTCTGTGGGCTTGCTGAGATACCTGCAGCACTGACCCTGCTCCTTCTGCAGGGGCCTGGAGGCTGCTGCCCTGGAGTGACTCGGGGAGCCAGCCCTCATTGATGGATATCCCCTCTTTTAGCATCACAGGAATCAAAGTCTGTCCCTGGAAATCTCACTGCTGCTGATTTATAGAAGCTTTAATCTTGGAAGGCCTCTCTCAGTGCTTTCCATTTTCTCTTATATCACTTTACATCTCCTGCTATTCCTGCCCCTGGCTGGATATGGGGTACAAGCCCCAATATCTCCAAGAGATGGAAAAGTTGCCTGGGTGTGAGGAGAGTGAACACACTGCAGGAAGGACAATGGCACAGCCAGCCACCACAGGAATTGTGGAAATTGCTAAAGATTTGGGGAATCCAGATTTACTGCATCTTCTGTGGCAATCTGGCCTCCCCAGCATCCTTGTAAATGAGAAACCACATAAGCCTCACACTCTATTATTGCTTCAGAGCATCAGAGTCCCTCATTTAGGATAAACATTCTCATCTCCAGCAGAGCATGAATAACATTAAATGAGATAGTTAAAATGTTTCAGGCCAATTATAGCCCTGGTGTAACTTCGGCAGAATTACACCAGGGATTAATTTGATTCGGAGAGCTCTGCCTCCTGTTCCAAACTGGGATTCCAGCACGGGTAATTACATCCTGCCTCTCTGCACTTCCTCTGGAGTTTTAATTGGGTTGAATGGACTCAACTTCTGCTCTTTTCTTCAGAAAGCCATGAAATTTCCAAACTGCTACGTGAGTTGAGGGAGCTGTGTGCTGTCTCTCTGCTGTGCTGGTGTGGGCCAGGACTTCCCTGGGTGTGGGTGCACAGCAGCCTGCACCCCACTGTATCTTCTGCTGGTAAACCCACCACCCCAGTCTTACGTTGGGGGTCCAGCCCTCCTATCCCAGCCTGGATCCCAGACACGGACCCCTGTGCACTGAGACAGGCAGCTGGACTGCCTCCCCCTTCCACTTCCCAGCCCTCTTAGTAAATCAGCATTAATGAGGGACATTTGACCCTCTCTTTCCCTGAACAGCGTTATGAAGCATTTTTGTTCCATGAGATATTTAAGAAACTTGAAGCAATTTCCTCTACTTGCTTCTACTGTTGTTTTTTTGGTTGATTTTGGGTTTTTTTAGAGAAGGAAAAGTTATAGGCCACACACAGCCTTTAGGATGCCTCAGGAGTGGGGGCAGAGGAGAGACAGCAGGGTCTGATGTGGAGGGGATGGAGCAGACAGAGCAGTTGAGACGAGGTGACCCCAGTCCTGGTCTGCTTGGTTTGTCAGAGACCACGTGTGCAACTGAGACAAGAGGGTCAGAGCTGGGAAAGTGCACATGCTGGCTGTGATTAGGAATTTAATTGGGAAGAAATTGAATTCCAAGGCATCATCTCATTGAGTTGGAGCAATACAGAGCCATACATCCTCCATAGCCAACAGTTTACAGGGGCGACAGCAGAGGGAAGGGTGCTGGGAACAGTCTCCCTCGCAGATTTCCAGGACTTTCTGCTGCTGTGTGGTCCACTTCCCTTCTCAGAGAGAAATGATGAAAACAGAGAGTCTGATAAACCCTGGGGAGCTGGGCCCAGCAAGGCCCCACAGCTTCACCCCCTCCTCCAGAGTGTGTGGGACTGCTGGTCCCACACCAGCTCCACCCCCCAGTGGGGGTAGCCCACTCAGCATTTCATTTCCCTTTTTAGTGTTTCCCAAATTGTATTTTAGTGGGGACAAACATGGAAAGAAGAGCAGAGATGTCACAATCCTTCCTTTCTCCTCAAACAAACAGCTTCTCCTCAGTGGGATCACAACAGTGGGACCATGATGGGGGGACCATGTCCATCAGCAGCCCTCAGAAAAACACTGGTGACACCATTCCTGACCTGTGAGGGCTGCCACCACCCCTTCTGTGTTTCTCATGACGTGGAGGGTGGTTTTGGCCAGCAGAGAGGACACAATGAATGAATTAAGCAAATTCCCACTCCCACCCACCAAGGGCCTTCCGGGACTATCCCAAATCTCGGTGCAAACAGCAAACACCTCTCCATGGCCAGCAAACCTTGCGCAGCCGCTGGCTGCAGGCACTCACCCGCTCTGAGCTCAGCTGCTGCCTGTGGCTGGCTGAGTAAATACAGAGCATTTCTCATTAAATCCAGCCACGTGGAGAGCTGGCCTTTCCATGGGTCAGGAAACCTTTATTCCCCAAATCTACAACACTCCCCTGCAGCTGATTTAGCAAGCGCTGTTTGCACACCCAGGTTTGCAGGACAGTGACCCTGTCCCAGCAGCACTGAGACATTTGCAGGCACCATTTCCATCTGGCCCCATGTTGTCCCTTCTGGGAGTGATTTTTGAGTGCTAGTCCAGATGGGGAGAAGGGTTGGAGTTCTTGATGGAAAGGTCCAGACTGAAATCTGAATTTTCACTAAGCCCAGAATGTGCCTGGGCTAACCCTGCAGATCAGGGCTCCAGTGGGCTCCCCTCAGTGAGACTCTGCTCCAGTCTTTGGGAGTCTCATAGCCCCAGCATGCACCCATCATTCTTGGGGCTCCTCTCTGTCCCGTTTCTGACCTTGCAGATCCTCCTTGTTGCCCATTTCTGCCCACCCAGACTGAACAACACCTCTGCAGCTAAGCCCTTGACCTTTATTTCCCCTTAAATCAATACATAAAAGCCATTCTACAGCAATACCGGCATGTCAGGGGAATCCAGGCAATTCATATCATCAGAGGAGCTGATTCTGCTTTTGAGGCTCAATCCTGGTAAGCTTTTGTCTTTTCAGATTCCAATCTTTTCTGTGCTGCCTTCAGCACAGCATTGTATTCATCCCCTGACCCCCCCTTCCTGGTATTATTGACTCTGTATCTTGTTTATAATCTGTTATAAAATGAAGGAAGCTCCAGGTAAAACCATTTTTATTCCTCCTGATCATAATACTTCTTTTGCCAAAAAGAAGAAAAGAAAAATGTTTAACATTAATTGATGCTGAAGAAGCTTAATTTAAAAACTCACAGGGAAAAAAATCTATTAGGAAAATTCTGTAGACCTTTGTGAAATTCTCAATATGGAGAACCAAGCTGCTGGGAGCTCTTGTCCATATGTCTGGCCTTACCTCTGAGACAGGGAGGTGACCCTACAGCTGCAGAATGGGGAGAGGGTGTTGATATCAACCAGGAACATCCTGGGCAGGAGACACATCCCAGGTTTTTTCCCACCATCAGCCTCTCTCCTTCCCCCATTCCTGTGGCTGTCAGAGGTGGTTGGCTCTCAGAAAGAGCAACAACCCGGTTTGGGTGCAAACTGGGTGTATTTGGCACTGAAAATTCATGCTAGCCATGGTGAGGCCAGCACAACTGTGCCCATGGAAAAGATTCAGCTTGTGACTACTTCACTCACCAAAAAACTAAAGGCCTGTCTCCTTCTGTCTAATATCTATTTGCAAAAGCTTTGTGAGCTGCTTTTGCAGTTAGGTTGAAGCTGATGTTTGTGAGCCCACCACTCCCAATGACTGATCAGCACACCCTGATAGACTTTTCCCATCAGAGCATTTATTTTTACAACAGGACACCAAGTCCTCAAACAAACGAAGGCTTGCACAAGAAATCGTCTGCCTCAGTTTGGCAGCAAACAGGAATATTTCTCTTTATTCTAAATCCAAATTTTTGTGGCTAAATAGAGCCAAAAATATATCTCACCCCGCTACTTCTCCCAGACACAAGACATCTCTGAATGCCGAAAGCAACTCTTCCCCTGCCACAAATGGACCAAATAAACCCAGCACGAGACTGAGCTTTAGGAGAAGCTGATGTGCCTCTAATGCTGTCATCTACAGCGAGCTGTGTCTCCAAACTGATCTTTTATTAATGGGTTTATATCCATGGGAAAGCTGTGGAGCACGTGAGAACCCCATGGCCGAGAGCAGGACCCCCGATTGCTCCGTGCCCACATCTGGGGCTGCTGGCCACCACCCAGGGCTCAGCCTCAGACAGGCAAATTTCCTTCCTGCCCCACAGCTTGGCCCAGAGCCTGGTCCTTCCTGAGCAGCGGGAGGGCAGCTGGGTGATGTGGCCTTGTTGCTGTCATGGGTTGTTTTGCCGAGGGTTCCAGCAGGTGCCGAGGCTGGGATGTGCTCGGTGCTGGCTGCAGAGCACAGGGGAGCTGCAGGAGGAGAAGGAGTTGTGGTTAGTTGGTAAATTGTGGTTAATTGTTTGTTGAGAGCTGGGACAGATGAGGTAGAAGCCTTGGGGCATCTGCTTAAGGAAGGGCAGGGCATGGTGAGTCCCTGAGCTGCCCTGGGCATTCAGCAGTGCCTGGGAGGAATTAGGAAAGACAAGCTCTGGCCCAAATTTCTTCCCACAGCCCAACCATAGGAGTGTCCCCTCATCCTTGAAGCCAAAGATTCCCTCCCAGAGCCAAGGCAGTGGTGTGTGAGTGACCCAACCTTTGCTGGGAGCTGCACATGGGCACCCCAGAGCCAGCCCTCACCCCCTGGGGTCACTGGGTAGGACACAAAGCCACATCAGTCCCAAATCCCACAGAGAAGCACAGTATGGCTGAGGTTGGAAGGTACCTTAAAGATCATCTTGTGCCAAACCTCTTCTATTAAACCAGGCTCCTCAAAGCCCCATCCAACCCATCCATCAACACTTTGAGGGGTGTGGCATCCACATCCTCTCTGGGCAACCTGCAGCCACCCCTTGCACCCCATCCCAGCTGGATCACCGCTGCCTCTGCTGCCTTTTCTGTCCCTTTGAGATGCTCCTGGCATCCAGGCAGCAGGTAGGAGGCCACAGAGAAATGGCTGGGTGTGCCCTGGGAACTGAAATGCTATTGAAAGTAATGGGAAAATGGGGTTTTCCCTCCCAATCCAGCCATTCCAGGTTTAATTTTCCTTCTCCAGAGCAAGACACTTTTCTTGATACTTCACAGCCTCACCAATAGGCAGGAAAACCAATAAATCCTGGGTTAAACACCAAAAAAATCACCACTAAAATGCTTGAAGGTGAAGACCAGGCTTTTTGCACGTCCTATCCCCCAATTTCCTCAGAGCTGCATTATCCCAGATAACTGCTGCATCCCACCTGGCCTTTTCTCTGAAGCGCTGTTACGTGGCGCGAGTGTCAGAGCCAGCCTCTCTCCCAATCTCTTCTTCTCCCTCGGAGTGCCTGGGGACAGAGGAGATGGGGTGAGCTGTGGGCAGTGGTGCTGATTGCAGCCCCTCTCTAAAAGGAAGTGATAACTTGCTCCAGTAAAGGGCATTTTTGCACTCAAGAGCAGAGCCCTCAGCAACAGCAAGCCCTTCTTTTCCCCACATCCCCCCAGCTCTGCAGAGCATCCTGCAGCAGCAGGGATGAATCTCCCTTACAGGGGACCAAGCAGCTCAACTCCAGTCCCACAAGGAATTGCTGCAGCACAGTTTAGCCTAAATATGCTGATTTTATCCAACAATTCTTTTCTTCTTCCTTTTTATTTCCCAGGAAATAAATAAATCATGCGAGTTTTCCATCACCCACTCTCCAAGCAGCTGTCCCTGTATCACGGCCCATGCTTCCTCTGGGCTTTGGAACTGGGTCAGTGAGCGACATCCAGCACTGGTTCTTCCCACTGAAATTCATAGAAAGCAGATATGGCCCCTGGCTGCTTTGGAGCATCTTTGCCTTTTTAGCACAAATCTCAGCCAGCCTGGGGTGGGCTGGAGGAGCAGGCCCTGCCCAAGCACAACCCTCAGAAGGACCAGGGGATCTGTCAGCAGCTCTTCCCTGCATCCCTTTGCCACGATGATGTTCACGGCTTTGCATGTTTGCTACCTGGTGGGGAATGGATTTCTTTGAACTTCCATTCCCTGCCAGACTTGGCTGAAATAAGCCAGCAGGCTTGAAAGCCATCAGGGAGAGCAGGCATGGACACACACACAGACACACACACACAGTACACAGCACTTACTGCTAGGGAAACCAGGCAAAAGAGGGAGCAGCTTCATCCTGTCATTGTGCCCCTGCTCTTCTGACAGTTTACTTTCTGCCCTGTTATATTCCATGGTAAAAGGGAATTTGTTCTCAATGGGTTGGGAACCAGATCTTGGGACAGAGCTTGTCTCATTATAGAGAATATGGCTGAAACAAGTCCAGGGATCTCCTTAAGCTGCCAAAGCAGGCCTGCAGAGACCAGAAAGGTGGGTAAAACCTATCCCTACCTCCAGATACCATTGGCTTTACCACTTGTGCTCCTTTGCAGTGCTAGAATTTGGGGTCACTTTCAGTAACTCACTCCAAAATCAGAAGGAAAAGCCAGGGATGCTCTCTGAGTCACTGGCATGTTGTTACCAAGGACACTAAGGTTCCTGATTTTGAAGAAGAGATTAATTACATTCTACAAATAGACATTTTATCTGCACTGAAGAGCAGCAAGATCAAGTTCTTTTAGCGTGGCTCATTATGTATCAGCAGGTAGTATTGTGACAGATGTAGGAATGCAGTCGTATTGTCACTGGGGTTTAATCATCAGAGAGCTGTCTTCCCCAGGTCAGCTCCCTGTGAGGATTTGTAATATTTACATAGCACTTGGGGCTGGCTTCTTTATTGCCAGAGTCTGTATTCACTCGTCAGTCTCTCATTATGCATATGCCAGTATTAATTGCATTTAGAAATGAGATTCTAAAGCAGAAGTGAGAGCTATTTAGACCTCCATTCAGCTTGAAAGACAGCAGCCTTCTGTGTGACAGCTCTCGAGATGTTCTTGTGCTCAGCTCTCTCCCCAGCTGAAAAGCAGGTGTTGGAGAGAGTTGGTGTCAGAGCCACTGTATCAGCACTGCCTTTTGTGCATGCCCAGACATTTATATAACCGACAGGATAATGACTCCGCAGAAGTGGCACAGAATTGACCCTTCTGGTTCTGGATTGAAAACAGCCAGGGAGAGAGTGGATCTGCTCAGCTGCTGTGCAGATATGGGGGAAAGCTGAGCCCTGTCTCCTGTGGGAAGCAGAGGGGTGTTCCCTTGCTGGTGGGTTTGGGGGTTATTTATCGGCTCGCCTGTGCCTGAAGCACTTTGGGGCTGTGTTTGTGGCCTTGCTAATGGATTTAAAGTGTACAGAAATTTGGCTGACACTTGTATGTGCCTGCCTGCTGCACACTGATTGCTCCAGCCTGGAGAAGCAGAGCTGTGTGCCCCTGCTGCTGGCTACCAGCTATGCCTGGCCAGTGGAAATGAGGAGGTCACGTCCTGCTTCCCAGAGGGAAATAAACTGGAAGGTTAATCTAGATGATGCCAGGCTACCGGCTCTGTTTTCCCCGAGCCTGAAGTGCAGAGGGTCTGTTCTTGCTCTACAGCACAGTGTGTGGGGTACAACGAGGATGTTCTGGGGAGAAATCAGCACAGGCACTAAACAATCCTTCTCTCCCCGGCCCCGGCTCCCAGTCCCAGGAAAACAACCCCTCTGGGGCCCAGGGGATTCATGTCCAGCCTTTTGGGAGGGGAGTCAAAAAACAGCAGTAAAGCAAACCCATGTTTCACTTGCCAAAGCACCCCTTTGCTTTGCCACAGTCCAGCACTGCCCCACCAAGCCTGAGACTCTCCAAGAGCTCTCCATGGAGGACATCTCACAGACCTGGCTCTTTCCTTTGTGTGACCTGTGCCCCTTTGGGTGCTCCTGTACTCCCTTGGGTGCTCAGTCCCCTGCATCCCCCTGTGCTGGACCAGCACCAGGACCAAACCTGGTCCTGTTCCACACCAGCAGCATCTCTACCTCCCCAAACCCAGGAGCAGGCGATGAGAAGCTCCTGCCAGGAAGAGACTGGAGGGGAAGAACATGAGAAAGGCAGAGCAGACATCCATAGCCAGCCCTGGCTCCCAGCCAGGACCTTCTCGTTAAATATCACACAAAACAAAGAATAAATCACTGCTTGGTGAGGAAATCCAAGCACTGGAGCCCAAGGAGTCCCTCTTGACCTTCCCGTCTCTTGACAGCGGGTTAGTCCAGGAGAGTGTTCCAGTTTGCTTTTTAACTCCAGCAAGAATTGGGGATAGCAGACCCCAAAGCTGGGTTGCTGGGAGGAATCCCTTCAAACCCCTCCATTTGTGATGGTGGCAGCCAGCTCCACTGGCCACCAGTAATCCCATGGCTGAGCCCCCCAGCTCTGGGAGGGTGGGCCAAGGACAACCTGTGCCATTCCTGGCAGCCCCAAGGTATATAAATAGAAGACAGGGACGTGAAGGAGGTCAAGTGAGCAGGGGATTTCACATAATCTGATCTTGCCTGTGCTGCTCATTTGTGTCCTTTGCTCAGGATGCGTGCCCTGCTTCGCACACAGGGACGTCAGAGGCAGAGGGTTGATCCTTCACCAAGCCAGGTTTATCCTGTGGAACATGTGGGCTCCTGACTTTTTCTTCACATGTGCTGTTTCTCAGGGATGTCTTTAATCCAGCAGTCATCCAGAGCAGTGCACATATGGAAAATTCTGGTCTTTGTTGCTGTATGGAATCCTGGTGCCTGAGCAGCCTAAGCCCGGTCATCTAGCTGGCCAAAATCCAGTTGGTTCAACACAGTACTGGGGCCCTGGTGCCTCAGGTCTGTTCCTGCCCTTCCCAAGGTCCATGTGCCTTGGTCTCCTGCACTACTTCTCCCCAGTCCCAGCAGCACATTTTTCTCTTGCTTCTGCTGCTTTTCTTTTCCAGGACATGAAAGTCTGGAAACAGAATCTCTCTTGGTGTAAAGCTGTCAGTGGAACAGCTCTGATTTATGCCAGCACCAAGCAAGGGGAGTCGATGAATCTCCAAAATAGATGAAGTAGAAAAGCTGTTAATAGCCACTGGTCTTTTATGCTGAGAGCAATTAATCACCAAAAAAACTAATCTAGGAGCGTATGGCTTTTCTATGGGCTGCATCCAGGACAGGTGCCTGTCTGAAGACTGCAGCAAGGCTTGGAGGAAGTTTTTCTTGGCCATCCAGCTCTGAGTCTCCCTCATGCTCCCAGGTCCATGCTGTGATGGGAGCCCTTGTGCTCATTCCAGCTTTTTGCTGCTGGTGCTGGCACCAGCCACATTCTCTCCTTATGCTGTGCTGCTGCTGCTGCTGGTGATGATGATGATGATGATGATGATGCCAGTTGGGTGAAAGGACTGACCAGACCGAAGGGCTCCAGGCCTGCAGTTTAAATGTGATGGAAGGAGTGCCGATCCTGCCTTGAGTGGAAGTATCCAGGGCAGCACCATGCCTGTCCCAGCCTGTTCAGCTCCAGGTTCCTTCCTATCTCCTCTTGCACAGATCTGTGCTGTATGCTCTGCTCGCTCCTAAGGAGCTGACCCTGCTCACTGCTCCCCCGGGCAGGGCTTGTGCTGCAGCTGGAGCTGCGTGTCCAGGGCTGGGGCACTGGGCTCACTGCCAGCTCTGCTGCCATCACTCCAGGTGTCTTACCCCCCAGCCATTCCTCCTGCAGCTTCCCAAGGGATGGACCTGCAGTCTGCCAGCCTTGCCAGTCACCCCTGTACCCTCTGCCCAGCGACAGCCCCCACCTCTGCAGTTCATTTGCTTAGACACTTAATGAGTGTTTAATTCAGCCAGTGCTGCAGGTAGCACAGGGACAGCCGGGGCACAGAGGCCAGGAGATGCCTTCCCTGAGCCTTGTTTCTTCCTCCCCTGACTTAATCGGCTCATTAAGTGCCAATTTGACCTCCCCACTTTCAGATGTCTCCAGTCTCCACTGGTAAATAGATTTGTGTGTCTCCAGCGGAGCCCTCCGGGGCTGAGCCTGCTGCTGGAGCAGGCGGCTGCACCGCGAGCGAGGGCGATCCTCGGGCTCGCCGTGACGGCCCCGCTGCTGCCGAAGCCAAGCCGGGGCTGAACGGGACCGAGATTCCTCCCAAAAGACACGGGGAGCTGCGGGTAGTGGAAGCCGCAGCCGCCGGCACCGTGCCCGTGGCGCAGCGGGGACGCACCGAGCAGGAGGTGACCCTGCCCTCCTGTCGCAGCTTTGTCATTGCCTTGGTGTGGGACTGCAGCAAGTCCCTTCCCATCTGCTCCCTGCCTTCGCCTTGGAGCCAGGATGAGTGTGAGCGGGTGTGTGAACACGGAGCACAGCGCAACAGGCTGCGGGGTGCTGGCTGCTGCCTTTCCTCAGAGCCAACATTTAGCTGATGCTCTCCAGCATTCCACGTAGCCAGACACTCATCCAAGCTCCCGGAACGGCAAGGATGGAGCGGGACCTCCCCAGGGCTGTTTAACACCAGTTGAGTGTCAATGTCAGCCTGGTGATGTCCCCACAGCTGAAATCACGGCTCAACCTGCTCCCGGGCCAAGGCATGCACACAGCCAAGGACTGCTCTGTTTGGGAAACACCTTGATCAGTGCATGTAAGAGCATCCCAGTGGTTCATCCCTGGCCCTTTGCACCACACAAACAGGAGGACCAGTCCTACATTTCCTCCTTCCTGCCACTGGTGCATTGGAGAGGAGGTGACAGCACATGACAGACGCTCCTCTCTACCCAGGCTGATGTCCTGGTGTCATCCAGAGAACCAAACCCAGGAGGAACCCAAATATCTCCATGAATATGACATAGGTTGAGGAGTGAGATCCTCCACCCCAGGGCCCCCCCTCACCCTTCCAGCCCCAGCCCCAGCGCCCTGAGGGGACGGGAGGGGGACAGGAGAGGACGTACGGTTCGACTTTGTTGCAGAAGCGGCGCCGTAGCAGGAGGACCAGTGGACCCAGGATCAGGATGGTGGTGCACATGGTGCTTCCTCCATCACCACCAGTGCCCAGAGCCCTTCACATCCCTCTGGAGGCACTGCTCAGCCCAGGGCTGTCACCCGTGCTGCGCACCCAGCTCATGGGCACCCCTGCCCAGCAGCCACCTGAAAGCTCTCAGGGAAGGTTTTATGAGGAATTAAGGCAGGATCAGATGTATTTAAGAGGCAGCAAATGAGGACGCTCTCCTCTGACCTCTGGATGGGAGGGAGCCCTGGAGCTGGTCTGTGACCCCTTGAGCATTTAATTAGTTTTGGTGTGTGGTGCTCCTGCCCTGCTCCTTGGCCAGGTGGGTGCTGGGGGTGACGTGTCATGGACCAGGCCAGTTCCCACCTCATCCACCCCATGGCACCCCCAGTCTGTCTTCCTACCCCCACCAGCTCCACACCACCAGGGCTGGGTACTCCCCTCTTCTCCCCACTTTCCCATGTGCCTCCCTCCCCTCTGTGCCCACCTTCCCCTTCTCCTCTCTTTCCCTCCAGCTCCTCCATCCCTCCTCCTGCCAGAGCTGTCTAAACCCGCTCCCCCCGTTCCTGGCTCCAGTAATCTGACAGGCTCAGACCTGCCTGTAATTCCCAGTGGACTCGTCTCAGCCAGCTGATCCCAAGACCTTGTCTGCATCCTTCCCTCACCCAGGCTGGGTTTGCCTCCTCCTCCTCCCCACTCTCCCATGGCTCAGCAGCACACACACCTTTCTTCTCAGAGCTGCTCTGGCTCTGTGCTCTCCCCAGATCTCCTTGCCCATCCCATCCTCTTCCCAGGGAAGCCTTTCCCTCTGCTCTGAGCTCCATGGGCAGTGAATTGCCTTCACACATCTTGTCCCAGCTCAGCCCTTTGCAAAGCAGGACCTGTTCTGGAGTGACTTTGTGGGTTTAGGTTAAAGAGAACAACTGGGAAGCGCCTCTGCAGGAGGGGCAGGGGGAAGGCAGCTGTGTGTGCCCTGCAGATCTGTGGACACACACATGGGGCTTGATGGTGCTGACCTGGAGAAGAGCCCCAGCACAGGCAGGGAGCTGCAGACACTGCCTTTGGGGTTGGGTTTTGCCAGGAGGATCCTCCCCACCCCCAGCACAGCCAATCCCACATGGACACTATGGAAGTGGGCTCTGATCCATGGTGCTCATCAAATTTGGGATGTGTCTCCCTTTGGGACTGTGCACACAACCCTGAGGGTTCTCCCCATGCCCAGCTCCATTTTGGCCTCAGGGCATGAGACAGGGGCTGATATGGGATGGACATTGGCCTCAGCAGGGAAGCTGAGAAAAGCCCCAGTCTGGGCATTCCCAGAACTCAGACAGAAAACAGCTTCATCCTGTAAAAGAGTTTTGAAACCAGAACCAAATCCAAGCAACCCAGATGGGTCCAGGTTCATTGAATGGTTTGGTCTGTAAGAAAGCAAAACTGAACTTTCCAGGAAGCCTGGCTTTCCATCCCCATCCAGCCAGGGCCAGAGATGCCCCCTAAGTCCAGCCACAACAAGGGTCTGGGACAGCAGTGGTTAATTCTTTCCTGGTGGACATGTCCTCTCAAAGTACTCCAAGCCCTGAAAACAACAGTCTCAAGCAGCACTTCAAATGTCAGTAAAACCAAATTCCTCTAAGGCCATCCAGTAAACAGCCCCCATTCCTGAACCTGGGGGTCAGCTGGAGCAAAGGGGATGGACCTGGCCATCATTACTGGCACTGACAGGATGGGAAACCTTTGTGAGAGTGGTGGAAGAAACATCCCAAGTGTGTCCTGCAGCCAGATGGAGACAAGAATGAATAATTCCTTCCTGAGTGTAAGTCAGGCCGGACAGAGGGTGCGGAGCTGCCTTACGCAAGGCACCGGGGAGCACGTGGGGTGGCCAAGCCCCGTGTCCCAGCCAGCTGAGCCCCCAGGAGCATGGTCCGGTATGCTGGGAAGTCACTGGAGCCAAATAAACAGCGGCTTCTGGCTGAGCTGAAGCCCAAGAGGCTGGAAGGACCTTCTTTTCCCTGGAAATTGGCAGCCTGGCTTTCGTAATCCCTGGGAGGACACTGCTGCTTGTAAACTCTTTTCCCCTCGCTGAGACCCAGCCAGGCTGACACCAGCAAAGTCCCCATCCTTGGACCTCAGATTCTGCCTGAGGCCCTGAGCTTTCTCCTTCAGGGACTTGTTTATAACCACACAGCCCTCTCTAACCAAACAGGGCACCATCACTGGGCTGCTCAAGCATCCCCCTGTGGGCACCAGCCCTGGGTGCCCCCTGAGTGAGAAAGGCAGCCCAGTCAGGGGGCAATGCCTGAGTGCTGGCCCCTGCACTCGCTTGGGTGACTTCTGCAATGCAAAACACATCTTCTGGAATCAATTGACTTTGGCACTAAGGTCATTGGGTGACCTTGGGAGACAAAACTCACCCCTGTGCGGGAATGTATCACCTCCAAACACTTGATTGATGCTGAGAGGTGCTTGGTTCAAAGGCAAGGTAATGTGAGTGGATTAGTTAATGCTTCTTGCCCTGGCCCTTGAGAGCAGGGCTGGAATGACGGGGCAGACAATGGGTTTTGAAGGCTTTTCTTTTTAAGATATGAATCAATGAAGCTGTACAAGGAGCATGGATAATGTGATCAGAATAAGAATCAGGGCTTGTCTTTGAACCAGAGCGAAGTCCCTGACGGTGTTTACTTCACGTCCTGGCACCAAATGTGAGATGATATGAATATATTAGCTTACTGGCTTTCCTAAGCAACCTCTGCCATGCTCAGACCAGCTTCAGGAAGGAAAAGAGCAGCAAAGAGAATCAGTTTGGAAGTGTCGACTTGTTTTCCAATAACCTTGTCACCCTTGCTTACCACTGAAGGGTCTGGCTGTGCTCCAGGGGGGAAGAGCTGGGTCCTGGGGGTGAAGGGGAAGGTGGTGACACCAGAGACTGCTCAGGATCTGGGGAAGTTTACCAGCTGCCTAATGCCTTGCTCGTGAAGCCCTGTGGTGCTAGATCTCTCATCTGCTTCCTGGGTGTCTCTTGCTTCATCTCCCTCAGTTGCATCACAGGGTTTCAGTTTCTTTAAATCCCAGTGTGGAACTGGGAGTTTTTGCAACATTCCCAGTCCAGGAACAGGTTGGTCTGGGTTAGAAGTGTTCTCCAGGGTTATCTTGGCAGCATCTCACCCTGCCCTACCCTGCCCTGCCCTGTCCTGACAGAGAGCTCTAGCACCAGCCCCACCTCCCAAGGCTCCTTTCTTCCTATTCCCCTGGATTTCCTAATCCTTGGGGATTTTTAGATTGTGTGGGTTGGTAGGGATTTTTTGGAGAGGAAGCCAAAAGCTGTCATCAGGTTTAAGGTCATGGGGAGGTTGTGTTGACCCCATCATACCCAGTGCCTCTACCCTGCCTGCTGCTGCCAAGGGTCTTCATCCCCTACTCCCTTCCCAGACATCACCTCGGTGCTGCTGCTGTCCCAGTCCCCAGCATCCCACACCTTCCTGCTCCCACACATGGGGGTGGTGAGCTGAGACTGGAGTGGCCACAGGGTTTGGGGTCCCCTCTGGGATCTGGGGGCTTGGGGCAGGGTGCCACTCCCAGAGCAGGGGAGCCCTGTTCCCACCTAAGAAGGAACTGGTCGTTTAAGCCCATTCCCCGCAGCTCTGGCAGCACCACCTGCAGTCTGGATTCCATCAGCAGAGGAATGTCTGCTCCCAGCTTCACCCCTCACCACAGCCCACGTATCACAGAGCTGCCCAGGGCTGGAGGGGACAGCAGCTCTCATCATTGTCACTTCCCTGTCTCTTCCCAGCCAAGCTGAAGACAAATGGAAATGGGGAAGCCCCAGTTTCTCGGTACTTCAGCTCTTTCCAAGGAAATCAGTGACCAAGCCTTCCAGCAATGTGGAAGTGGATAAACTGGGATCAGCCCCGCCTTGGGATGGAGATTCAGGCAGCAATCCAACCCCAGCTGGATCAGGGGGGGGGTCCTGCTGCCTGCAGCCCCTTCTGTCCTCCAGCCTGATCCTGCAGAGATGGCTCAGGACACAGGTACTGCCAGCACAGAGCGGGAGCATCAGGATTGCACACGGGTCTCCTGGGATCAGAGGAGCTGGGGGAAGGAAACCTGCAATAAGCACAGAGCATTTATACAGGCTTTAGGCTAAATCCTTCCCTCCCTGGGTAGCAGCACTGCAAAGCCATTTCCTCAAGTCTTGTTATTCCTTTTCAGGCTGGGACTTTGCAGTTGACAGCAGGGCTGAATTAGGAAAGGGAGAGAGAGGCCTGGCCTGCTGAGAGCATTTCTGGGTGAGCTGGGCTGGAAACCAGAGGCTTTGTTTCACTGAAGGTCAGGGTGACAATCCAATATCTGCAGGTCAGATCCTGCAGCAGCCCAGAGTGGTTCTGGGAGGAGAATGAAGGAGGAACACCCAACCTGGCATGCACCACACTGGTGCCTTCAGCCTTATTCCACCCAGAAGACTGCTCCTGTTCTGGCCAGGTTGGTGTCTTGAGAGTCTGGAGAAGGGATCCTTGCTGCATCCCTGGAATCCCACCAGCACCGAGGCCTTGGGGCAGCTCCTGCAGCTCCTTCCCAAAGCACTCCCTGGTGGATCTCATGTGGTGTCTTCCTGGGATCACCCCAAGTAATGGTGTCTGTCACAAGGTCCCAGGGAGCTGACATTGCACAGGACACAAGAAGTGACCTGTTATTCTCCAGGAACCAGATAACAAGGCTGTCCCGCTGCACCAGGAAGGGTGGACTCGGACCCAAAGGTCTGGATTTGGGGTGTCTGCCTTCGCCCCAGAGACAGTGAAGTCAAAGGTGGGGATCTGCCATCATCCACATCCCACACACTGCTGTGGAGATGAAGTCTTGGGGTTTTTTGCCTTCACCTCCCACTCAAGGATTAGGAGCCAAGTATATTTCTCATTGCACCCAGCACATAAGAGGAGGAGAGGCAATGTGGGAGGGCACGGGAGGAGTGGGAGAAGCCGTCGGCAGGTGGGTACGGACCCCTCAGGAGCACAGCATGCCACAAGCAGAGGCTTGGAGGGCCTGGGAACCCATCCTCACCTGCTGTAGCCAGGATGGAAGATGGCCTGAACAAGCATTTGATCTCCTCCTGCTGTGCAGAAGCTCTGGGAGAAGCAGGCTCAGGTTCAGCAGGGACATGGCACCACTGTGTCATCCCATCACGGGGACAGGTCCACAGGAAGGAGATGGAAAGCAGGAGGGCTGTGATGCTCAGCTGGTGAGGGGAGATGGATCAGGGTGTTGAATCAGGATCTGAGAGAGATGGATTGATTTCTTCAGTATGGATTATGCAGGCTGACCCCATCTCAGCCTCTGCACTGGCCACGGGGACCAAGTTCTCTGTCCCCCTCCTTGAGTGCCATGGTCCTGAACTGCCCTGAGCAGCAGGCACCGAGCTGAGCTCCCCTCTGGGCCAGCAGGCAGCAATGGTGTCAACACAGCATCTTTCTCCTTCTGGAACAAGTCTCCTCCTAACCCCAAGCCCTTGAGAGCAACAGTCATGGGAAACCATGGAAACGGGTGGCAGGCACGTGACAGCGTGTGCCTGCACTCCTGCCCTTGATTTATGTTCCACGTCTGGGACCAGACGCAGAAATGCAGGGCTGTTGGGATCATTTGGGATTTTGAGGCAGTGTAGAATCACCACTGCTTTACTCCCCGTCTCCTTTTGTGGAGCAGGATGGGAATGGGGCTGGGCTCCTGCCAGGGCCAGACGTGATGAGCCCAGAGAGGGAGGCAGAAACCTGGAAAAGGCTGGGGGATTTCTCACTTACTTTTCTAATGTTTTCTAATATTTTAATATTTCTAAATGGAGACTTTTGAGCCCTGATATTGTGACTTCTGGTGCCAGGGAGTGAGGAAAAGCACTTGCTGCACACAGGAACCACGTGCCAGTCTGTGAGCCTGGGGTTGACTAAGCCACCAGATACAAAAGCTCAAAGACTTCTTTTCTGTAAACACACAGCAAGTGATAACTAATGCTCGACCCAGATTACCCTCCCCAGGGTTCACATTGGTCAGTATTTGATTTTTCCCCCTTTTGACAGCACTTGCCCTGCATTGCAATTTTGCTCTGGGTTTAAGCTGGGTCTCTCTGGGTTTAAGCTAAGTCTAAAGCACCTCTTCCCCTGCACCTGAAGGGAAGGTGATAAGCTTGGCTGTGCCATCCCATGTCCAGGGGGTTTCTCTGCTGCCTGGTGACCACCTGGGGACCTTGTAGTTAATGTTTGAGCTGGGGCTGTTCATCCCAGGGGCTAATGGGCACGAGGCAAATCCAAACTTGGTGAGAAGCTGATGATTCAGCAGCTGCTGGTGGTGGTATCGAACAATTCCTGACCTCTGGCCACGTCAGGCTGGCCACAGTGCTCTGCTGTGGGGGCTCAGCAGCTCGCAGCTGAGCTTTGCTGTCGATCCAAGGAGCTCTGGGATGTGTGGGGCTCCCGGTCTGTCCCAGCACAGGTTCCCTGGGCTCCCACAGAGGGGGATCTGCGGGCAGCACGTTCTCCACCAGCTCTCATCAGCTCTGCAAGAGCAAATCTGCTGACACCACCAGTCTGGCGGCTGCTAATGGGGAGGTGGCCAAGGCTGGTTCGGAGGAGAAATACAGCAAAAAAAGCCTCGACAGCTCTGCAGTAACAAAGCTCCAGCCCCTCAAGGGGCTCAGCCACCCCGCAGCCCGTCTGTCGGTCTGTCCGTCCGTCTGCCCTGTCCTGGGGGGCGGCGGGGCGCTCCCTGCTCCGCTGCTCGCTCCCGGGGGGACCCGCGGTTATTTCAAATCCCCGCAGGATTTTCCTGCTCTCTGTGCTAATGGTCGGGGTTTAACACGCCGGATTGTCAGGGAGCTGGGAATGGCATTTGGGTAAAAAGCAGCCCCGAAAGCACACCCACGGAGGCGGCGGGGAGCCTGGAGTGGAGGTGTTCCCTGCCAAGGCGCTGCCAGCAGCGATGCAATCCACAATAATACCTTCATTTCACAAGTGCCTTAACTCCGGCTCCTGCCACAAGAACGGAGAGCAAATTCTCAGCATTAAAAAAGTCCCTTTGGGACAGACCGCGATCTCTTTTGTGGGGCAGAGAGATTCTCGCAGCTCTCCTCTCCACCCAACTCTCGGCAGCCCAAGAATTGGAGGTGAGGGGTTTGTCCTTCCGAACCTCCTGCAAAATCAGGGAGTGCAAAGAGCACAGCCGGGATAAAACCGAACTTTAACTCAGCACTCTGGATTCTGAATTTCCTCTGAGCTGTTTACAAAGGGCTGCAAAAAAAAAAACTTCCAGCACTACCTCCCCCCGCCAGCCCCGTCCTGATGTTGCCCAGAACATCTCTCTCATCCCTCCCTTTCAGGGAGAGAAAAAAAAAAAAAAAAAAAGAAAAAAAAAAAAAAAGAAAGGAGGGAGGGAGGAGTGGGAGAGAGGAGGAGAGAGGGAGAAAGTGAGCTCACGTTCACACATTGGTGAAGAGGCTGGTCTTGCAATGCCTTTGAATATTTTACTTTTAGGCAGTTCCTCATCAGTCAGGCACACACATCCGAGGCGAGCTGAAGCTAACTACAGCCATGGACAGCACTAGGAGATCTCAAATCTAATCGCACGCATCATTCCTCCAGGATATTTTTTAAATTCCATATCTAAACACGCTGACAGGCAGCTGCACTCACACTCTCTCACACACACATCCACATCCACACGTCGCAGAGCCGCCGAGAAAACACCTTGTCTCCTCTCGCAGGATATACCCGCTCACACACATCTCTCTTTATCTCCTCCTGGCTTCCTGGAGGATCCTGCCGGCTGTTTTTCATGGAGAAAGTCCAGGGAGAAATGGAGATTGAGAGATGGGAAAGAAGTGAAGAGATTTCAGACGCAGAAAAAAAGGTTATTCAAGAGATATGGAGCAGAGTATACGCAAACTGCGAGGACGTTGGGGTCTCCATACTCATCAGGTATTTAAAAAACAAACCAAAAAAAAGGAAGCAGCAAATCCAACTGAATCTCTTTATAGCTGAGAAAGAGGCAGAACAATATATAGAACTGAGTGGAGATGAATGACAGCGAGTGGGGAGCTGGCTGGGTGTATTTGCTGCCTGGGAGCAGGGAGGGATTCACAGCGCTCCTCGGATTCCCACACCTTTGAGCCGGGTGGCAGAGCAGGGGGAGCGGGGGAGCCTGGCCGGGCACTTTGGGGGAAGCTGTTTCCATGCTGTTTTCACCTTAAGCTGCGGCCGGGGCTGGGGGCGGCGGAGGCGGGGGCAGCTCAGCCCCGGCTGCCTTGGGGGCCTGGGGTTTGTGCCCCCCCGGGCAGCGTGAGGATGGCACGGGTCCGCAGCAGGCTGGCGGGTGAAATAATGCGAGTTGGGAGCCAAGATAAAACCCAAGCAGGTGTGTCTCCGAGGGCACCATCTGTCCCTCCGGCGGCAGCGTCGGCGGGAAGGAGAGCGCTGAAGTTGGCGGTGGAAGGGGGCTGTGGGGGGCACAGCAGGGCGAGGGGGGCAGCGGGGGACAGCAGCCCCGGGAGGGGGGTGCGGAGCATCTCCCGATGGCAGTGGGGCACAGACAGCAGCTCAGAGCTCTGCACATGCAGCCAGAGCAGGGGAGATGCTCTGGAGGTGGGGAGCAGAGGCAGGTGGGGGTTCTTGTGTTGTCTGGGAGTACAGCCGTGTCCAGGTACACCGGGAAGGCGCCAAGTGGAAATGGCACGGGGTGCCAGTGGCACCGGGAGTTTGGGCTATCGGTGGGGTATGGCACCAACAGGCCGTTTCCCCTGTTTGGGAGGGGATGGGAGGATGGGCAGGGCAAGGAGAGGGGCAGGTGAGGTGCCTGCAAGGACCTATGGGCAATCAGCAAAGATCCTGTCCAGAGAATCACACCGCTCATCCCTGGGGTCAGTAATGCTGGGGTGTCCCCGGTCAGACCCCCACCTGCACCAAACCAGGCACCCCAGTTTGGAGACCTGAGACTGGGTTGTGTCCTTCCCATCTTCTGCAGCAGGGGACTGTGGGTGTGCAGGGAACCCCTTGGATGGATGTGCTGTTTACTAATAATCATCTGAAAGTTTTCCAGCTGACTGAGCTAAAGCCCAGAGCCCTCGGGGTCTGCAGGGAGCAGAGCCTCCCTGGACATCACAAGCAGAGCCAGTTCCCTCCAGGCTCGCTGCCAGCACTGCAATCCAAGACCCCTCTGCAGATTCCAAAATGACATTGGAGCCCCCTCTCCACCTCCTTCACAAACATTTCCTTCTCTCAGAGCCAGCTGATGGCTGAGCCCATTCTCATGGCCCCCACTCCGTGTAGGCAGTCAGGGCAGTCAGGAGGTGTGACAGCTCCACGGCTGGGGACACCAAACCTACCTAGGCTGGGGTTGAAGCAGAAGGAGCAGATACCTGGGGGCTGCATGATTCCCCTCAGCCCCATCCCATGAAGTTCAGCTTGGGGCTTGGCCACCAGCCATGCACGGCCAGCCCCTTGCCCAGCACCTGGGTCATGCCATGGCCCATCTGCCAGCACTTCCAGGTGCCCACTGCCCACAGACACAGGGAGGGTGGCTGTGTGCCCTGGCACCGAGGGACTCGTGGCAATGCCACGAATGGGGATTCACCCAGGGCAACTCGTTGCTTTTAGAGTCCCCATGGTGCTTGGAGCAAGGTTGAGCATGAGGCATAGAGGTGTGACAGTGGGGACCGGGCAGCTGAGCTCTGATCCCAACTCAAACTTTCCCAGCAGAAGTTTTTGGTCCAGTTTGGTTTTTATTTTAAATCCAAGCAGAGTTGTGCACTGTGGTGAAGGTTTTGTCCTGCTGTGACAGCAGGGCAGGACAGAACTAGGATGAACCCTGGCTCTTTGGGAGCCCTTACATCCTTAGTCATGGCACATGCCCTGGCACATCCCAGCTAAACCCACCTGAGCCAGAGCTTCCCTGGGATGCCTAAAGTGCAGTCTGGCCTTGTGCATGTCCCTGGGGACAGTGATGCAATTTGGGAGAGGTACCATCCCCTCCAGCAGCACCGGCTGGAGCAGCACATCCCCCCTCACCCGCATGGCACAGCTGTCCCCAGGTCACAAACCCTGTCCCCAAAGAGGTCTTTGCGCTGTTGCTCTGCCCCGCCGTGAGCTTTGAGCTGCACCTGAGCTCCCTGGGGAAGCAGGTGCGGGGGAAGCAGGGCAGCCCTGGCCGGGGCTGGCAGCTCGGGCACTGCTGCTCTCCCAGCAGCGCTGGCAGCTGGCAGCAGCCGCCGGGAGAAGTGGGTCATGCGTGAGCCCGGCCCGGAGGCAGACACTTCCCAAGACGTGATTCAGCAGCTCCAGAGGTCGGGGCTGCGGAGGGGGCAGTGGCTGGCCGCTGGTGGGGTCGGTGAGAGGTGACCCAGCACATTTTGGATGGGCACACACACGACGTGCCGGGGGCTGGCAGCTGCCCCAGTCAGCCTCTGTTTCAACAGTGCCCGCCTGGTGCTCCTGCTCACCTTGCTAGGGAAACTGAGGCAGGAAGGGGTTTGCACCGGTGTGGCCAGGGAGAAGGAAGGGTGGCTGTGGACCTGCCTTTGCTGCAGCCCCCACGGGCAGAGCGCTGAGAGCAGGTAAATCTATCAGCACGTCTTGTGGTCGGGGTCACGACTTGGCTCCAGGGACTTGATGGCAGAGGGTCTCTCCCTGCTTACCTGCTCCATCCTCTCTCCATCCCTTCAGAGCTGCTGAGGGCAGGGAATTCCATTTTCCCTTGTGGGAAGGCCGGGGGGGGTTCGCAGCACTATCGAAATTAATCCGGGGCTGATCCTGTGCCCCAAGGGGGGAGGAAGGGAGGCAGCAATGCCCCCCCAAAAGGCAGTGATGGGGGGTCTGCGGTGTTGCCATCCTGCAGGAGCCCAGTCCAGCTCCGTCTGCCTCTACCAGCACCCCAACCCTCCACCACCAGCCTTCCCATGCTTTCCAGGTGGGGAAACTGAGGCACGGAGTTGGGCATCATGCTCCCATTGCTCGTGGCTGCTGCTGGTGCTTGAACCCACAGCAAACCCCTGGAGTCCTGCCCTAGCACGATGGGTCCCTGATCTCACAGAGCTCTGGGACCCCGGGGGACACAAACAAGAATAATGGGGGCTACGGCTGAGCAGCCACCGGATCCTGGGAATCTGCGCTCTGTGGTTAAAACTATGTCGCTAATTGACAATTTCCTCGGTGGGGAGCCTCGCCCCGGAGGAAGCAGAGTCTCCTCGCCACGCTCATCTTCCCCCTCGGGAGCTCTGGGGCCTCTGCAGGCTCCATCTCACAGCTGCCTTAACCCTTGCTGGGGCTGGAGCTGGGGCTGGAGCAGGAGCTGGAGCAGGGGCTGGGGCTGGAGCAGGGGCTGGAGCTGGGGCAGGAGCAGGAGCTGGGGCTGGGGCTGGAGCTGGAGCTGGAGCAGGAGCAGAAGCTGGGGCTGGAGCAGGGGCTGGAGCTGGAGCAGGAGCAGGAGCTGGGGCTGGGGCTGGGGCT